GGGGGGAATGCAATCATATTTTTGTTTAGGTGCTCGTGACAGCTTCGTGTGACAAGCGCACGAGCTGCACGTGAAAGATGACCAACATCGAAGGACACGAGCTGAATGAATTCATTCTTCTTGCACTACACGATCGTGATGGGGCGTGGTGTCCACCTGCGCGCATAGTCGGAGCAAAAGAGGACACTCACAGATTTCTCTCCGCTGGCAGCATCAAGAACATCGAGCAAACCCTTGTCCATCGCTGGCGTCCATGCTTTCATCCAGTCACGCGCCTGTTGCAAGGAGGGTGCGCCACCCCGAGACTGCAGGGACAAACGCTTGTCCAAGAAAAGCCGCAAGCGCGCCTGGCGCGGCATCGCTGCTGCCTGAACTCGGACTGCCCATTCCCACGCCCGTGACGAGCTGCACTCGGCGGTAGAGACAGCAGCAGAAGCGTTGTCGGCGCCTTTCTCCGCCACATCCTTTGCACCGGCACATTCGCGTGGTTTGGAGGAGTCCACAGGCGCACGCTCCCCAGCCAGATCTTGATGGATCGCGGCGCCACGGCTGCTTTCGTCTGTGCCATCATCGCCTACTGCGCCGACCCCACTGGGGTCAACCTCATCTCGGGTTGAAACCCCGGGCATGGGAGTGTCGGAGCGAGACGCGTTGGTTGCCACGCTTCTTTCGATGGCGACAGCGACGGTTTCGACTCCCGGTCTTGCCAAATCTGGCATGTCTGACATGTCGCTGCTGACGGCCTCGAGCATGGGCAGAGCAGTGGCAATAGCGCTGTCAAGGGTCGAACAGCCTGGCCATGTTCCGCGCTCCCGCAGACTGGTGCTTGGGCTGTTGTTGTTGGAGCTTCCGTCCTTGCTCTCCGCATCGCTGTCGGCCACCTCCACGGTGGCTGCATTGCTCACGTACGAGGCCCCGTGAAAAGCCGGCATTGTCCCAGTACCATCGTCGATTCCACTTGCCGACCGCCACCGGTGCTCTACCCCCGTCGCCCCTCCCCAGGCTCCCAACACTGGTGTGTTGGACGGCAATCGATCCAATTTGGCATCGGCGTCCGGCAGGGTATCAAGGTCCAACAACTCGGGGGTTCCCGGTGCCGGGGGCAGGGCACCAAGCTCTCCATGCGTTGGCATCACGCCTGCTGTCGAGGCATCTTTGCTCTCGCACGCCGCGTGTGCGGCTTTCGGTCCTCCCAAGGCGTCACCTTCCTTCGAATCCTTCGAATCCACCGCCAGGTCGACCCTTGCAGCACCCTCTTGCGAAGGCACAATCCTAACTTTGTCTCCTTGGACATAAATCGGAACCTGCGCACCGTTCTCGGTTAGCAGACCAGCATGAACCGGTGTACCCTCAGGGTCAAAGCCATACACGTGCAGGCTGCAGTCTGGCGGCACAGGATGCATCTGTCGACCAGTGTATGATTGGGGGACGGCGTGCAAAAACACGAATATAATTATTTCGAAAGGCCCCTGGACCTGGCTGGCAACATTCAACATTCCGCCTTCCTGCGACAAGCTGTTATGAGTCAGAGCCAAGACACAAGAAAATTTTAGAACATGGAATGGCGTCCATCACTAGCATTGAGCGATGCTTTCCTGCGGGAATCGGACGTATGCACGGACGGTGTACAGAGGCTCGTTTTAAAACTATCAATATTCAGATAGCGCCCGCACTTACGAACTTAGCAGTTAAGAAATTGAGACTCGCAAAAAATCAGAAGCTGAGAACTTGAGCACCATTTGTGAGCTCGGGTAAGAACCCCACCTATATAGCGGCCATTTGTAGCCCACAAGAGGATGATCAGCAAAATAAGAACCCCAGCCTCGGCCGAAATTAGAGGTTCTTAAGTGCGGGCGCCATCTGTATCAATGAATAGCTGTTTCGCACGCATTTTGACTAGGCCTACAGCCATATTATTGGTAATTGGTCTCGCCTGGTCTACTTCCACCAGAAGGCTCAGAGCTCCCCTCAGCCTCGTTTCGTGACCAGGTGCCTCGCCCACCGCGTCGGCACCGACCTGACTACCATGACCCTGTAGACGCGCGCACTCCCACACGGGCCCGTCGCCAACGACCTGTTGAGGTGTTGAGGTTGAGTGAGTGAGAGTTGCAGGCAGGTGCCATGCGTCATTCCTTCAACGTCACTCGAAGTGATATCGATGGCACTCAAAAGCCACAGACTGCCACAAAATACTTCGACAGACGTGTAGTGTTGTTGTTGTTGTTGTTGTCTTCACATTAAAAACCATCCCGGTCTCTCTATCCAGTACCTCCTTCTGTCTCAATCTCTCCGTACTAATCCAGCACTTGACTCGGTCAATTTCCGTGGTCACAGGCTAACGTACCTAGAAAAGGTATACCAAAATAAAATGGACTCCAAGGGTTGGCAGAGCGATAAAATACAAGAAAAGAAAGGAATCAGAAACAAATAAATAAATAGTGGAACGTGCGCACCACCAGCCCGGGGGGTAGCCTTCC